TATTCTTTATTCAGGTTGAGGAGCTGCAGTTTGTCAAAGATCAGCTGTGATTATTTGGTCTCAGCTCTGAAGTCCAACCCGACCCGTCTGACAGAACTGGACCTGACAGGAAACAACCTGGAGAAATCAGATGTTCAGCAGCTGAAGGATCTTGTAGAGACTTTAGAGTAAGTAAATGTTTGCAGTGAGTCCAGCTGCTGTCAGCATTGAACTAAACCCAGTCAGCATCAAAGCAAAGATCCAGTCCCAGTAAAGCTGCAGCTTCTCAGTGGGAGGAGATGGTTCAGGCTTCCTGATTGGACACAGCAATCAGCCAATCAGAGGAGCAGCAGCTTGCTGTGTTGTTGCTGTGTCCATGTCTCCAGGACGTCCAGCTGGACTCCAGCGTCCAACATGTCTAGAGACAGTGGTCCTCATTCATCAAACAGCAGCAGATCTGATCTCAGACCTGCTTGTTCTCTCAGTTCAACAGGAACAACTGATCAGGTTCATCTTGGTCAGCTCTGAGATCAGTCTGACTGGAAACCATCTACTGGATGTGCTGCGTCACTGACTGCTACTGGAAACACTCACTGATCTGCTCTCCTTCCTTCTTCTCTCTGCAGGTGGAAGATCTGATGATCTCTGTAAAGTAGAGAACGTCTCTGTGTCCTGCTGATCCTCACAGGTTGAAGCTGCAGCAGTTTGAGTCTAAAGAGACTCTGGATCAAGATGATGACCTTTGACCTCAGAACATTTTCTATTTCAAATATTTTCCAGACGTCGATTGTTGAAGATTTTCAGTTTAATTTTTCATCTGATCTGTTTGATGATCTGCAGGAACAAAAAGAGAGAAAAATACTCTGAGTTTTAGAAAGTTGAATTGAGCAAAAACATGAAGCATAAATTTCATTAAAAAGCTTTAAAGAGTTTGTTAATGGACAAAATGTCATTTTATTCTGTTGAGGTGAAAAAGTTGATCTAAAATCAGACATGATAGCAGCTCTATAGATTCAGAGCCAAACAGTAAAACTTCCTCTGGATCTGTGGCATTAAATCCACTTGAGATCCAGGACGTCCTGACCAGATCCTGCAGAGAAAGAAACAATATTTGAACGTGGATCATTTGGACTCGGCTGCTTGGATGTGTGTTTGGATTTGAAAGTTTTGTTGTGAAGCAGAAAGTTTGATGAAGTTCACAGTGAAGACGACTTCAGTCCACCTGAAACCTGGTTTCACTCAAACGTCTTTATTCACTTTAAGTTTCTGATGCAACAAGAAGGAAGAAAGGTCAAAGGTGAACCAGAGATCGACTCCATGTTGCTCACAGATGTGATGGGATCAGTTTGCACAGCTGTTGTTCAAGGAGAACAGTTTTTATTTCCTGCTTTTGTTGATGGATGCAAATTTGCATCAGAAGATGAGAAAATAACTTTCTGTGGTTTATTTGTGTGGATTTAAAGTGGAACAAGTTTAAAGAACTAGAGGAGAAACCTGAGCCAGCGTTCTGACAGACCAAACACTGAGGAACCAGAGTTTGCATCGTCAAAGTGACGAAATCATCTGAATGTTGTGACTCGTTTCCCATCAAATCCCTGACAGGAAGCAAAACCTCACGTCTCCAACATGAAGCTGCAACAGGATGCAGAACTTCCACCGAGTGTCACGTCACTCACAGCAGATCAGGAGCCTCGCTCTTCACCTCAACACCCGCCTAAAACCTGGACCAGGGGTTAAAGGTCATCTCCTGCACCTAGTGCAACATTTCATCCTTATGAGAGCGCGTCTCAGTTAGAGGCCAAAACCAGCAAGAAGCTTCAGAGTTTTCCTGCAACGTAGCTCTGGTCTGTTGGCTTCAGTGAGGCTGGTTTTACTGAAGATGTGTTCAGGTACGCAGGAAAATTCAGCGCTGATACAGATGGACGAGCGACTCCACCTCTAATGCTTGGATAAAAGTTTATATGTTCATGAGATGAAACAGTTAATTTTCCTCACAATCAGGACATTCTCCATCGGTCATCCTGCCGTCGTTCTGGATTTATTCATTATTTACATCATCAATAGAAATTGTTCAACCAGATGTTTCTCTCTGTTTTAATTTTCACTGTTATAAAGTCAGATCAAGTCAGCTTACATTACTGTTGTTAAATAAGAGTCACTGCAGGATTTTATTCAGTTTGATTAGAAATAAAACGTCTTGTAAAGAGTTTATTACAGCAGCTTTATTTTATGATCTAAAACAGTTTTATGACATATAAATCCAAACATTGAATAAAAATATATCAGGATAATTGAGTCAGTAAACTGTGAATATGACTCAGGAAGACTGTTAGTTTTCTCTAAACTCCACATTAAATGTAAATAATGCAGCATTATCAAGACTGTAGTTCTCACTATGGCACCAGAGGGCGGAAATATCCCGCTCTCAACATAGAGGTGAGTTTGCAGAGCTGCGGCTGATTTCAGACGTTTGTTTAGTTGATTATGTTTATATCATTTTCATGATAAATATTCATATTATTATGGTCTGTCTAAAGGACTGACAGTTGATTTAATATATAGATGTTATTTACATACAGATAACTCATCTATATTTCCTAAATAAATTACATATTAATATTCCCTGATGAAATACTTTAACAGGTTTGTTCGCCAAGATGCTGAGTTTCCTGTTTAGTTAGAATATGTTTTAAATAATTCTTTTTTCTGTAAAACAAAAATAATTACGATAATTTGGCTTCAGAGCCCAATAATATAATTTACATCAAATCGTAAGAAAATTACATACTTTTGCTTTCTGATAAGATAATAAACTATCAGAAAGCATAAGTTCTGATAGTTATGCTTTCTGATAGTTACATTAAGTACATAAAGCTAATGAACTTAATGTACTTACTGTACATTAAGTTAGCTTAATGTACTTACTGTACATTAAGTTAGCTTAATGTACTTAAGCTAATGTACTTTTAGCTTAAGTACATTAAGCTAAAATGTACTTAAGTGTTTTATTAAATTCTCAATAAAACACAGAGAATTTAGGTCATTGTGTTATTTTGAAAGAATCCAAAGGAAGTGCTTTTCATATATCAGCTCTCTAACTTTACTCTTGTATTTACACACTGTGTCCACTAGGGGGCAGACGGCTATGTTAGCAGATAGCTAGTTTCCAGCTCTTGATCGGCTTTCTTGTTGCTCTCTTGGTGTTTCTGTGTTATTTCTTAAATCTTCTTCCTATCTTAACATGAAATAAATGTTTTATCTGTCAATGTGAACTAGAAGCGGCTCCACAGAGATGAACCAGACCGCAGAGACTCTGAGCGGAGCTAGCGGAGTCTCAGAGTCCTGCTAGTCTGTTAGAATATGCTAACAGACTAGCAGCAGCTTCAGAGGAGCTTTGGCTCCTAAACTATTTCATATTAGGGCGGCATTTGCCCTCTAGTGGACCCAGATGGTAACTACAGCTGCTCATAAAGTTAGAAAGTTTACATTACACATACACTTCCGGTGAGTACTTTCACATTAAGACCGATAGAAACGGGGTGTTTTACTGTTTGCTTTTGTTTCAAATAATATATTTAACTTTTATGAAACAAAAACATTATACACAAAAGCAGCAAATTAAACGCTGCTGAGGTTTTTTCCACCCACATGTAATTTTTTTATTTCTTCAGATAAAAGTATTAAATAACATTAATGTGTGATACCTTAATTCAGAGATTAAACTCAGTCATGTTTTTTTTTATTAATTATGAGATTAACAAATTTTCAATTAACAAAATTTAATTAAATCCAACCACTCGTAATATTTTAAACTGTATTAATTTTTCATATTTAATTTTTCTCCAGTAGTTTTCATCCTGCTAAATGTTTAATGTTTGGATTTGAACGTAAATATATTTTTAATGATTATATTTTTTCAGCCTTTAATTCTCAACCAGTTCAATTTTCAGGGAGGATTTTTAGTTTAGTTTTCTTTTCACTTATAGTGACTCTTATTTAACAACATTATTAGAAGCTCATTTTTATGACTTGATCAAAATGAAAATTACAACATATCAATAAATGATCGATAAAGGATATCTGTAGTTACCACAGATCTCCACCAGATGGCAGTAAGAACTAATCAAACTTTATAAATAATTTCTATGAAAAATATGTTTGTGTGAAATAAATGAGAATAACAAGTGAACGTTCAGTTCATCCGTTTGATTCGCCTCTAAGCAGTGAACTTTAATCAGCTGCTCTAATAAAACGTCAGTGGCTGAGCGGCGCTGTTGCTTTTCAAAATAAAGACATATATTAAAATATCATCAGTGTAATAATTCTCTTTGGAGGAATTTCTAATGCAGGCTGAATATAAATACTATACAAATATGGAAATTATAACAAGTTTTAATCACAAATACTCCAAGAATAATTTATATCTCCATATTTTGATATTTTAATTCAGTTTAACTAAAATATTTGTGGCCATTAATGATGATGTAGTTTCAGATTTTGACCACTAGATGTCAGAATAACTCCTGGTTTTATTTTGCTGTTTTCGTTTCTAATGTTTAAGTCAAACATAAATAATCTGATGTAATATTTATTGTAGAGAATAAAATATTAATTTGTGACCCATCAATTTATTAAAACCTGCTTCCGGTATTTATCGCTCATTTCACTGCTGAACGAGCTTTGCTGTGAAGTAACGCGAGATCTGGTAGGTAACGCGAGAGCTGCGGGCTGGTGCCTCAGTCTGTGTCGCTGCTGGTCTCTTCGTGGGTTTGTTGTGTAAATGTCCTGCGTGATGTTCTGCCGGGATTAGTCCACGCGTCCAAGAGGACAACATGGCGGCGGCGGCAGAAGGTAAGGCCCGTTGTCATGGCATCACGGTACGAGCGCAGCTTGCTGATGTCCTCCGTGGACAGGTGTCCCCTCCCCACTCCCACGGAGGACATGAACGGGCCGGGTCGCTCATGGACTTCCTGGACGAGCCGTTCCCCGACGTGGGACCTACGAGGACTTTCACACCATCGACTGGCTGAGGGAGAAGTCCAGGGACACGGACCGGCACCGAAAGGTTCTGGAGGGCTGGGTTCGGAGCGTGGGGCGATGCCGACCCGCTCACCGTGTGCGTGTTTGTCCCGCAGATCACCAGCAAGAGCAAAGAGTCCATCTGGGAGCTGATCAAGAGCCTCCTGGACGCCTGGTCCGGATGGGTGGTAATGCTGCTCATCGGCCTGCTCTCTGGTACCGACCGACCCGGTTCCGTCCGGGACCCGGTTCTGTCTCTGTAACTCTGGTACCGAGCGATAATATACACACCTGCTAGAAACTGATGGTTCCATTATTATCCTTTCTCTCGGAGAATGGACCGGTACCGATAACAGTACCGGTACCGAGTTGGTTCTGAGGCCGGAATGATTTTAGCAAAAGTTTCACATAAATGATGTGAAAATAATGTTTGTATTTGAAGCTGCAGCTCAGAGCATCGATGTTGATGATGGAAACATTTGGATTCAAACAGTTTAATGATCATCAGGTTTTATAAACTTTGTGTTTTGTTCATTAGACTCTAATCTTCCTACAGAGTCTTTAAATCTTTGGTTTAAAGACTTTTTATCAAGAAAATAGAAAAGCTCCCAGTTCATTTATACAGCTTCCATAAACAACAACTTTTATCCTGGACATTATCATAAGCATAACTTTCCCCTCATAACTGTTTTATTGGGAAAAACCAAACATTAGCTTCAAGCATAAATCCCTATTTCTTTAGAACTATGTGGGAATGATGTTCTATCTGTAAACAGTTGTTTAATGATGGTTAATTATTAGGAAATATAATTTTCCCTGCAGAATTTTCTGTTGTTTTCTATCAAGTTTCTCATATCAACCTCAAGTTGAGACCAGATCCAATATTCCAGATTTCCAGAGTCATTTATTGGTCATTCAGAGCCGTTCTTTAGTATGAAACCAGAAATCAACATATTAGAGAAATAATTCAGATGAATAATATTAGCAAAGCTGCTTCAATCTTTTATTGGAACAATCTTTATTCAGATATTGATTGGGAACAAACATGGTTATTGCCAAGAAAGTGTTTTGTGTCTATAATAAAGTACGGGAGGCGTCAAAGTTTTCTGCAGGTTTTAAATATTGTAAATTCAGAACTGAATAAAATATTTTCCAAATATCGATCCTCTTTGCTCCTTTTGTCATTAACAGGTGGCGCCACTAGGTGTCGCTCTCCCCGCAGCCTGAGGCTCCATCAAGGGGAAACTGGAGGTCAGGTGTTGATTTCCTGTTGATTCAGGTGTGGTTGGGTCACACGTTGTTGGTTGATGGTCGGGAGTCACGTTACCTGGGTGTTGGTGCTCGACGCTGTAGGTACGTTTTATACTGTTGTTTTATTAAAGATGAATTGCATGTTTTTATGTTTTGTTCTTATTTGGTGGATCCACCAGATTTGAGCTGATGGTGATTTGTGCCATGCAGGCAGGCAGCGTTTTAATGTGTGTTTAGATTGACTTGATTAAAATGATTGAATAAGTATCAGTCGTTTTATGTTTTTACAGTGGTTGCAGTGCCGCTTGCTGTCTTTTAGAGTTTTGTTTTCCTTTGTTCTGATTGTTTGTCTTTAGTAATAGCTGTGAGGGCGGGGCCAACAACTTTTCATTGTTGGTTGGTTTTGTTTGAGGCACTTAATGTTTGCTGTGATCCCTCTGTGGGACACAACCACAAGATAAAGCTAGCAGAGAATCAATAATATGATTATTATCATCATCCTGGTGAATATTTGCTGCCTTTCGGCCAAAGAGGAACTTGGAACCAGAAACTTTCACCCTTTTTTGGGAATTTTCGAAAACGTTTTTCTGTGTCTTCAATATTGTCTTTAGTTGGAAATGTAATATATTTATTCCTTTGCTGTTCAACATGTTTGCTTTGGTATTTCCAATAATAATCTGGTTGGAAAGAAAATATTGTAAACGTTGTGATCCTGTTGGCCAAGTTTCTCTACATGCTGTAAATGAGCTGAAAACAAACCAACTTCAGAGTTTTTACAGTTTCTCTAAGATGTTTTATGGACTCTTTAAAGATGTGCATCGACTCTAAAGCTATGAAACTTCTAACCTGAATTTGATTTGTAAACTGTGGATTTGTTCCCTCAGCATCTCCAGCATATTACTGCCTGCTGCTGTATTTTCTTTATTGGGAATAAAGTTTATTCAGAAACTGTTTTCATCGTGTCTGCCATGAATATTAATGACTTATCTAAATTATTTACCTGATTTTCATTTCATGGAAACGTTGCTTCAGTCAATTGTTGTTTTTCTTCACATCAGCAGAAAACGGACTGAGATCTGCTGACAGAGAGTGATGAAGACGCCTCCAGGCCTTCATCGCCGCAGCTTGTTGTGCTGCTGCTGCAGCAGCCAGACTCCAGCGGCCCCTGGGGGCCCGGCGGTGGCAGCGTCATGCTGCGGGTTCTCTGTGTTTCCTGCATTAGAAGGAAGGCGGCGTCCTGCTGTCCTGGAGCATCTGCTGTTCTCCACCAGGCAGAGGGACAGGAGGACGTCCCAGTGAGTCTCCAGAGACGGAGACGCCGACCGCCTCGCCGTCTCGGCTCAAAGAGGTCAAGGAGACGCTGAAGGTCACCATGGACCGACTCCTCCTCTAGAAGTACGCTTTATTTATCTTTCTACTGTATGGCTTCAAAACACTTTTCTCTTTTTATTGGGTTTTATTTTGATAGGAAAAGTTTTTATTACAAATTCAGATTCTTTTTAGTCGTCATCATGAAAAATATTAGTTTTAATTAGATTTTTATCCAAAATAGTTTTTCATTCTAATGAAACTAATTATCATTTATTGCTTCTTTAAAATTCTTCAGAGTAAAAAGTCTTTTTATTTTTGAGAAGGCTATATTTATCTTAATAAAATAATGTTTTATATGCTGAAGCTTTTTACATTCACTATGAACTTGAAAAGCATCCACTGGGACCAGCTTCCCCTCAGCATGATGCTGCCTCCTCCGGGTCTGGACCAAGGTGTCGTTTCCATGGTGACAGCGTTTCCGCTGGTTACATGTGCAGGTGCAGCAACAGGCCGACGGACGAGGCGCTCACCGACCTCAGAACATTTTCTATTCAAATATTCTCCAGACGTCGATTGTTGAAGATTTTCAGTTTTATTTTTCATCTGATCTGTTTGATGATCTGCAGAAACAAAAGAGAGAAAAATACTCTGAGTTTGTTAGAAAAGTTGAATTGAGCAAAAACATGAATCATAAATTTCATTAAAAAGCTTTAAAGAGCAGGATTTTATTCAGTCTGATCAGAAAAATCACGAATCTGCAAGAAAGCTCAACACAACAAGCAATAAGCGTATTGTTCTGAAGTGAACTGGATGTGCCACATTGTTTTGTGGGATTTCTTTGTGGCTCAGAGAACTTTATCTGTCCAATTTTCCCGTGATGAAAACCTTTCGTTAATTTGGGTTTTGATTGATCTGCATACTCAATCGCTATCATGGTCATGTGGCCGTTTTCTGAAATGATCAAATTCTTTGTCCTAAACTCTGGTAAAGAGTTTAAAACACAGCTTTAGTTCTTTTTAAATCTGTCTTCATTATATAACTCCAAACAATGAATTATAATATATCAGAATATATTTGAGTTAGTAAACTGTCAATATGACTGAGGAAAACTTCGTCTTTATCTAAACTCCACATTAAATGTAAATAATGCAGCATTATCAAGACTGTAGTTCCCACGATGGCACCAGAGGTCGGAATACCCGCTCTGAATATAGAGGTGAGTTTGTAGAGCTGCAGCTGTTTCTGACTTTGTTAAGTTGATCACGTTTATCTTTCTCATATAAATATTGATATTGTGGTCTGTCTAATGGACTTTAATATGTAGATGTGTTATTTACATACAAATAACTCTATATCTACCAAATAAGGTACATATTAATACAATAACAGGTTTGTTTGCCAAGATGCTGAGTTTCTGGTTTAGTCAGGAGAATTTTTAAGAAATAATTATTTCTGGAAAACAGAATAATTACTATAATTTGGCCCAATTATATATAATAATAATATCGTAAGAAAATTGCACAATTAAGCTTTCTTATATAATAAACTTCCAAGCTAAAATGTACTTTCAGGAGAATATAGTTCCTTGTGTTTTACTTTGAAAGAACACAGAGGAAGTGCTTTTCACATATCTGCTCTCTAGCTTTACTCTTGCTGTCGTTACACACTGTGTCCACTAGGGGGCAAAAGGCTAAGTTAGTAGTTAGCTACTTTCCCGCTCCTGATCAGCTAATGAATCTCTTGTTGCTCTCTTGGTGTTTCTACTGTTATTTCTTAAATCTGTTTCATATTTTAAATAAAATCAATGTTTTGTTTGTGAAGAAGAAGCAGCTTCACAGAGATGAACCAGATCGCAGACTTTGAGAGGAGCTAACGATGCTACCAGACCAGCAGGAGCTTCAGAGGAGCTGTGGCTCCTAAACTATTAATATCATTTTAGGGCGGTATTTGCCCTCTAGTGGATCTAGATAGTAACTACAGCCACGTCATAAAGTTAGAGAGTTAACGTTGCACATTCACTTCCGGCGTGTTCTTTCACATTAAGATCGATAGAAACGGGTCATTTTACTGTTTGCTTTTATTTGAAATAATATATTTAACTTTTATTAAACAACAAAACCATACACAAAAGCAGCAAATTAAACTCCGCTGAGGTTTTTTCCACATGTAATTTTCTTATTTCTTCAGACAGATAAAGTATTTAAATAACATTAATGTGTGTGATACATCAATTCACAGATTAACTCAGTCATGGTTTTCTGATTGATTGCGAAAAATTAATTGCAGACTCGGCAACAAATTTTCATTGAATCCAACCACTCGTAATATTTTAAACTGTATCAATTTTTCACATTTAATTATTCCCCGTAAGGTTTTTTCATGTTTAATGTTTGGATTTTCAGTGTGAACTAGAAGCAGAAAGATGAAAACATCCCGCAGAGATTCCAAACACCGAATTTAAATATGTCAGAATAATATTTGAGTTAGTAAACTGTGGATAGGACTCAGGAATACTGTTAGTTTTTCTCAAAACTCCACATTAAGTGGATATTAAACGTAACTACTGCAGCATTATCAGGACTGTAGTTCCCACTATGGCCACCAGAGGGCGGAAATACCCGCCCTGAATATAGAGGCGAGTTGTCATTATAAATATTAATATTATGGTCTGTCTAACGAACTGATAGTTGATTTGACATATAGATGTGTTATTTACATATTGATAACTCATCTATATATCAAGTAAATTACATATTAATGTTTCCTGATTAAATAATTCACGGGTTTTTTCGCCAAGATGCTTTGTTTTCTGTTTTGTCAGGAGAATATTTTTGAAATATTTATTTTTTCTGGAAAACAGAATAATTACGATAATTTGGCTTCAAAGCCCAATAATGTAATTTATACCATATCGGAAGAAAATGACATACTTATGCTTTCTGATACATTCATAAACTAATAAGCTAAAATGTACTTACGGGGGAATTTAGTTCCTTGTGTTTTACTTTGAAAGAATCCAAAGGAAGTGCTAATCACATATTAGTTCTCTAACTTTACTCTGTTTGTCGTTACATACTGTGTCCACTAGGGGGCAGAAGGCTAAGTTAGCAGTTAGCTGGTTTCCCGCTGCCGATCGGCTAATGAGGCCCTTGTTGCTCTCTTGGTGTTTCTGTTGTTATTTCTCAAATCTTCTTCCTGTTGTAACATGAAATCAGTGTTTTATCTGTCAGTGTGAACTAGAAGCAGCTCCACAGAGATGAAACATCCCGCAGAGACTCTGAGCGGAGCTAACGATGCTAACTGACTAGCAGCATCTTGTTTTACACAAAAAACTGATTATCAGCAGCTGCAGATTTAAACTCTGATGCTGAACAGCAGCGAGTGTACTTCAGTTCACTGATAATCACTCACTAATGTATTATTAAACTTGTATAAAGGATTAAGGAAATTAATAATCGCTCATAGATTTATTATTAAAGTAGCGTAAATGATTTTAGTGTGTAGTTACAATGTGTGACCACAAGAGGGCGGTAGAAAACGAGTCTCTTCCAGAAAATAAAATTAAAAGTTAATCTGCTACAGTGCGCGGATATTTTTTATTTATTTATCAAAACATTTATTGGCTTTTCCATTTTATTAATTGTCCTTTCGATGATTTTATCCAGCTTGATGCTCTGATCTCAGCTGGTTGAAGCTTATCACTAATAAATATGTTTTTGTTAATATTTGTAGCTTTTTGACACTTTGATTCTCAAAATTAGCCACAGTTAATATATATATATTTTTTTACAGAATGAAATGTAATGTTTTTTCAGCTACATTTTTATCAAGAGTAATAAAAATGATTACTTTCTGAGTAGTTGTTGTTCACTTTGTGTCTAAATGATTTTAACAATTTATCTCCATCTCTAATAACATACAAGTATAAAATATATAGATTATTATTCATAGGATTGAGTTAATAAAGCTGTTGTCATTAGAAACAATTTAGTGAAAAGTTTAAAGTTTATCAGTTTTATGATGGTTGATTGAGTTCTTACTGCCTCTGGTGGTGAACTATCATAACTACAGTCATTTTGATGTTTATTTTTGTTTTAAGTTTTAGTTTATGAAGTCAGATCAAGTCAGATTTACATTACTGTTAAATAAAAGTCACTGCAAGATTTTATTAGAAAAAAAATCTTATTAGAAAAAACGTTTAAAACAGCAGCTTTATTTTATGATTTACATCTATTTTCATTTCATATATAACTCCAACCAGTGAAGTAAAATGTGTCAGTATAATATATGAGTCAGAAAACTGCGGATATGTCTCAGGAAAACTGTTAGTTTCTCTCTAAATTCCACATTAATTGATATTAAAAGTAAATGCAGCATTATCAGTACTGTAGTTCCCACTATGGACACGAGAGGGCGGAAATTCCCCGCTCTCAATATAGAGGTGAGTTTGTAGAGCTGCAGCTGGTTTCAGACGTTTGTTAAGTTGATCACATTTATGTCATTTTCATTATAAATATTAATATTATTATTAATATTATTATAGTCGGTCTAATTGACTGATATATAGATGTGTTATTAACATATTGATAACTCATCTATATCTCCTAAGTAAATTACCCACTTATGCTTTCTGATAGAATAATAAACAAACAAGCTAAAATGTACTTACGGGAGAATTTAGGTCATTGTTTTATTTTTGAAAGAATCCAAAGGAAGTGCTATTCACATAAATGCTCTCTGGCTTTACTCTTGTTGTAGTTGAAGACGTTGGACAGTCTGGGCCCCTAGTGTCCACTAGGGGGCCAGAAGGCTAAGTTAGCAGTTAGCTAGATTCCCGCTAATGAAGCCCTTGTTGCTCTCTTGGTGTTTCTGTTATT